TCTCTTTTCTAGTTTGGAACGTGCCCCTAAAGCATTTTCCTCCAATCCCCAGCACAGCAGAGAAGCCCCTTTAACCAAACACTGAAGAACCACAGAGGAACACCCTCTCCAAACCTCACTTTTTGCACACTGGGTTTTTTTTTTCTGCCACATTTGAAGGCTGAGGATGCTGCTCCAAAGAACAGGACAGGAGTTCTGTTTGCAGCTGTCTTGGTGGACAGCTGCAGTGCTGCCCAGGAGTCACACAAAGCTTCCTTASAGCAGGAATGGCAGCAGGGCCACCAAAGTGACACCAGGACCTCAGCTGGCTGTCCCTGAGCAGGAAACATCTTCAAAATACACCTCCCTCAATGTTCAATCCCCCAAGGAAGCTGCCAGACCTCTGAAATGAGAAATGAGGAGTTGATTATCCCCAACGTTCTGGTGAAGCCCATGGAGTGGACTCCATAAACTCCTCGCCATCCTCTTCCCCACAGATTCATTTTGCCAAGTCCCCACAAAAATAGAATTAAAACTCTCCAAACAACACTTCCCCCCTCAGGTTATTCCTGTGGATGTCGGYACTCTGAAAGGTCACAAGCAAACAAAGGCCTGAGCTTTGCAGCCAAAAAAAAAAGTCCAGTTTTTATGTTATTTATTCTCCTGAAAGTGAAACCCCTGTTTTCCAGCAGGGATTTGGAGCACTGCAGGTATTTCCTCTGCCCCAAGCAGGGCTATTGCCAGTCCTGCACCCACACAGCAATCCCAGCCCTTTGGGGGGCATTTCAGGCTGTGTCCAGAACATTCATTAGYGCAATTAAAGCCATTAGCGGGCTCTGAGGCTGTGCCCTGACTCAGCCAGGGACTGCACACACCCTCAGCTCCTCCAGCAYGAAAAGCCAATCTTTAGAGCCTGAATTTGGTTTGGATTCTGTGCCTCMCAAAAACACGATACTCCCTGGGGGCTCTGCGGGAAGACACCCAGCCCTTATCAAGCRGGAGAAGATGCTGCAGCTCAAATTCCAGTCGATGGAGAAGCCAGATTGAGAATGTAATTATCCTAATTAATTTTCTATCTGGAACTCATCTCTTTTTAACATAAACATCATTTTTTCCAAGCAGGCCACCAGCTTTTTTTTCCTGCACAGAGCAGTGGTTTTATCTCGTTGAGGGGCACRTTGGCAACACAAACTCCTGCTCTGAAAAAAAGAGGACTCAGGATCCTGCTGGCTTCTGGAAATCTTCCCCTTTTGCTAACTCCCTCCCACCACTTGAGGAGTTCACGAACCTTCTCCGGATCATCGGGGCTTGATGCAATCAACTGTGAAGCATTAGCTCTAAATATACAACTGGGAGGCCAGTTCTGCTTCAACACACAAACACAGCACGGGATGAGCAAGCAAGCCAGCCCAATTTGCAAGAGAAACTTAAATAATAATCCAAGTGAGCTGCAAGGAAGGCAGGAGCGAGCGGGGGATGATCATTTCTCTGCCCTTTGGAGATGGCTGAATTTAGGGGCAAACTGGCAGGAGGCCACCCACAGCTTTTGTCGTGCTCTGTGGAGCTAAATGCAGCAGCTCACCCTGCTTTATTCACTTGTTTAGGTGATTTTTTAGCAACTCAAAGCCTGTCCCCGGTGCAAACTCTCCGTGTGTGGACAGATAATTGAAAAAACAACCGCAGCAGGCCAAGAGACCCAGAATCCAACTTGTACAAGGAAAATAAACAYTGAGAGGACCCAAGCTCACAAGGCAGGGCGACAAACACTTTTCACTCTTTGAATCTCCTCGTGTTTCAGCAACCAAGAAATTCTCAGAAGCATTCGGGGCAAAGGGAATGTGCTGGTGTCACGTTCTTTGTCAACAGCTGTAAAGGAGATGCTCATCCAAMCACTCTTTGGTGGAGCTGCCAGATCCTGCTTACCCAAAAAAGGAACACCAAGCCCTTCCTAGGAATTTTTTGGAAGATGTTATTAAGCGTCTGATTTTGGCAGGGCTCTCAAAGCTGTTTGTGCCTTTTTTTTTTTTTTTACAGCCTGTTGAAAAGAAAGCGATACCACAAATACTTCCCATCAGAAAATACCAACAAGCAACTTATCATCACTGCAAGGGAGCTAACAACATTTTCAGCGAGTGGTTTTTGGCACTGACAGCTGACTCAGAACAGTTGTTGGTGGCTGGGACAGATGGACTTCATATATTAAAAAAAAAAAAAAAAAAAAAGGAAATGAGAACTTCTACTCTATAGATTTTAAAAAGCCTTCTGCGAAATCCAACAAATTACCAAACCCTGAGAATTAAATCAAAAGGAGATTTGAATATAATGAGCTTTAAAGCTGAAATGTGCCTGGGACCTGCCTGTATCTCCCCATCAAGGACTATAAGGTATCAGCACGTTCTATTTTCAATAGGAAATACTTGAGAGTTTTGGGAGGGTCTCCACAGCTCTGCCCTCAGTCCAGCACACAAAATCCTCTAAAATCCAAATATTTGTTTCCACGGGGAAGCTGGCGAGGACAGACCTCGAGGTAGAGCACAACACTGATGTCAGTTGTACGCCCCACTTTCCCAGCTTCCGCTGCCTTAATTATGGCCATGGCATTTCCCTGATGTGCAGAATCTTTAGATGCTTTTAGTGCCTAGAGCTGGGAAGGCACTGAATGCTCCATGCTTCACTGGCTCCTGTTCATGGCAATGTTTTAAAGCCACAATCAAGAACAGGGGCTGTTCTGGCAGCAACACAAAGGAGAAGGCAACCCCAGCTCAGAGTACTTGGAGCATCACCTTAGAGTCTAGAACAGGTCACACTTGGGATTTCGRCATCTTGTGAGCTTTGTCTCCTTTTTTTTCATGCTTTTTCTTTTTTTTTTTCTCCCCCAAGTAATCAGTTGGCACAAACACATCCTTCCAGTCACACTCCCATCCCACTACCCAGCACCAGCCCTGCAGGCTTCAGTGCATGGCTAATTTTATGTACTGCTGACAGCATAACCCTATTTTAGTGGGGTGCCCCCAGCACCTCAAGTCAGGCGTAGTGGARCTAACCTTTTCATTCTCAGCCTCACTCTGCCCAATCTTCTGGGCTTAAGACCTCAAATTTAAAATTTGCTGGGAATCAACACGGGACGAGGCACTTTGAATTTAATGGAAAGCAAAGCGGGTACCACTTGGTTTACTCAGCAGGTAAATGTTCTCAGGCAGAGGTGTKAAACCAGTGGTGTTTGGCTGCTTTTAGCAACTACTGTCTGTCTGAAGAGACGTAGAAATATCTGGAGTTTGTGTCTTTTCTTGCTATCTTTTAGGCCAGATTCAACAGGACACTTGGGCTCTGCTCAAGTGACAGAGGAAGGAAATTGGGCATTTTCCTACCCTGCAGCCCAGCTGAGAGGGAAAGCGGGATAAAGTTGTCGTTTTTCCCATTCAGAGGGAGCAGCTGAATCCGGAGTCAGCAGCGGGCAGAGCGTGTGATGCTCCRGGATCAGGCACTCCCAATTTCTCCCACTGGAACAGTTTCTGCTCCAAACCACAGCAAAGCGAGGGAACACCAGAGTCTGGAGCGTGTGACAGCCCTCTCCTTGGTGGGGATCAGTGTCAGAGTCATCTTCTCACYCCTCTGCTGACTGGTTTGGTAAAGAGTGCCCGAATCTCACTTTTTTTGAGGCCCAAAGCGGCTCTGCAAGTTCTCAGGAGTGACCGGAGAATTGTTTTTTGTCCTTAGATAAACTGTTTGAAATATTTCCACGCACTCCAGCCTTGAGCTGACCCAAAGCAGTGCCTGCTGAGTGTGTACACGCTCAGCCCCGTGTATTTTGGTACTCAGCTGTAGGCTGGTTGTCATCCTAACCCCACTCCACCCCATCCTCTCCTCCTGCCATCTGGGCAGACAGGGGGGAGGACAACGCGAGCCCACCGGCTGCTGTCCCCCTCCTCATCCCCCCAGCTATTAATAGCCAGACAACAAATGAGCCCAAATTCATTCCTGAGCGGAATTAGCAAATGTTTTTGCAATTAAAACTGCAAACATTCATGCGGGGCCCCCCGAACAATAGGCGCCTGTGCCTGGTCTTGAATAGGCACTAGTGTCCGCCCTGCCTGCCTGCCGAGCCTGCACATTCCTGGCACCCTCAGCCCTGGAGCCGCTCCTTGCTGAGCTGGGTTTTGGGATGTTTCCCCCCGTCCTGTGCGTGTGTGTGTGTCCCACACTCCCCGCAGCATCACGCTCCCAGCGGGTTCTCACTGCCGGCCRGCCCCGCACCCCGTGTGCTGTCCCGTGCTCCATCCCAGCGGCTCCCACGCTGTCCCCGCGTCCCCCCGCGCTCGGGCCAGCGCATCCCTCCCCTCCCATCTCCTCCCTTCCCCGGGGCGAGGGTCAGGGCAGCGCATCCTTCCCCTCTCCGAGCCCCGTACGGTGCCGGGCCAGCGCATCCCCTCTGGGACAGGGTCAGCGCATCCCTGCCCTTCCCGGCACCGGCACGGGGCAGTGCATCCCTCCTCCCTCCCTGCCCCGGCATCCCGGACCGGCCAGCGCATCTCCCCCTCTCCCCGGGACTGCAACCGGGCCAGCGCATCCCTCTGTTCCTCCGGGATCGGGACGGGGGCAGCGCATCCCTCCTCCCTCCCTCTGTTCCTCCGGGATCGGGACGGGGGCAGCGCATCCCTCCTCCCTCCCTCTGTTCCTCCGGGATCGGGACGGGGGCAGCGCATCCCTCCTCCCTCCCTCTGTTCCTCCGGGATCGGGACGGGGGCAGCGCATCCCTCCTCCTCCCTCTGTTCCTCCGGGATCGGGACGGGGGCAGCGCATCCCTCCTCCTCCCTCTGTTCCTCCGGGATCGGGACGGGGGCAGCGCATCCCTCCTCCTCCCTCTGTTCCTCCGGGATCGGGACGGGGGCAGCGCATCCCTCCTCCCTCTGTTTCTCCGGGATGGGGACGGGGGCAGCGCACGCCGGTGCTCGGGGCGCAGGGCCGGGGCGGGCGGTGCGGGGCTGTGCGGGGCGGTGCGGGCGCTGCTGGCCGGTACTCACCGAGCAGGGGCAGGAGCAGGAGCCGGAGCAGCTCCGGCCGCCGCAGCGCCATGATGGGGTGTGCGGAGCCGAGCCGAGCCTGCGCACTGCCCGGGCGGCGCCGGCCCGGGGGCGGGGGTGCTGCCGAGCCCGGTCCCGGCTCCGCGGGGGCACCGGCGGGGGGCGAGGGGCGGACCCGGCCCCGAGGGGAGGGGAGAGGGGCACGCACTGCACCCCCCGGCTGGGCGAGACTCGCACCCGCCGCGTGGGAGATGGGATGGAGCCGGCAGCGGGATGCCCGCGAGTGGGGTGAGGGGGTGATCCCGGTAACGGGACCCCTGTGAGTGGGGAGAGGGGGTGATCCCGGTAACGGGACCCCCGTGAGTGGGGAATCCCTGTAATGGGACCCCCGCGAGTGGGGAGAGGGGGTGATCCTGGTAACGGGACCCCTGTGAGTGGGGAGAGGGGGTGATCCCGGTAATGGGACCCCCGCGAGTGGGGAGAGGGGGTGATCCCGGTAACGGGACCCCCGCGAGTGTGGAATCCCGGTAATAGGTCCCCCACGGGTGAGGAGAGGAGGAGATCCTGGCAATGGTATCCTCACAAGTGGGGAGAGGGGGTGAACCCGGTAATGGGACCCCCGCGAGTAGGGAGAAGGGTGGTCCCGGCAGTGGGAAGCCCGGACAGTGGGAAGAGAGAGCGGTCCTGCCCATGGGACTCCTGACAGATCAGGAGAGAGAGAGACCCCATCAGTGGGACCACCGCGGGTGGGGAGAGGGGATGATCCCGTCAGTGGGACCCCCGTGGATGATCCCACCCGTGGTAGGAGCAGAGAGAAGCCGGTCCCAACCGCTGGTTAAAGCTTTGTGGAGAGAAAGAAGCTCACCCCGAGTAAAGCATCGGGAGGACTTTGTTTCTGAGCCAGAGTATTAGCTTAAAGATAATGTCTTGGTTTTAAAACCCATTCAAGTTTTGCTCTAAAGTAGGTGTTTCCCCCTGTATTTAACAAGAACCCCTAAAAAGAGCGATTTCTCAGAGAATCTTCTCTAAAAAGCCAACTCACATCTGAATTTCACAATAAACTTTTAACAGCTTAAAGTAAGGAAGAAACACAAACACAAGCAAGCAGCTGGGCAGAGAGTGTTGCTCTTGAGGAGCTCCCTGAGTCCCAGAATCAGGCTGGTTTGGGTTGGAAGGGAGCTCAAAGATCATTTAGTGCCAACCCCCTGCCATGGGCAGGGACCATTCCCTCGTGCTGGACCAAATCCTTCCTGACACAGCCAAATGTTTGATTTTGTGATTTCGCCCTGAAAAACAGCTTTGCACAGAGAGCATCCCCAGCTGCTGTGTGGTCCTCCAAAGTGCCCCGGGACCTTTTTTTTCTGATTAACAGAAAGGAACAAAAATTATCAGCGTGGGTCAGTGGCCTCAAATGGAACAAACTCTGTGTTAATGCTGCCTCTTGCGTCACTGCCAGCAGTGTCTGATGAGGATGTAATTAAGAAGCTGTTGAAGATCAAGCAGCTGGAATGAAAGCCAGAGCTCTCCTCTGCTCTGTAAACCGGCTCGGCAGAGCTGGCAGAAATTAAGGGATGTAAAAATGTATTTAACTTGATAACGTAGTAGATCTAACTCGAGATGCTAATGAGTAGATTTAAAGGGCTGATCCGAGCCCGGTGAAATTAATACAGGGAGTCTCATCAATTCTAATGGCCAGATGGGGCATTTCCCTGAGGATGAAGGGGAAGGAATCGCCTAATAAGGCTGTGTGGCTTAAAACCTGACTCTGGCAGTCTTTGGGCTGGGTCCCTGTTGGGTAAGGAATCATTTTAACACAGTCCGTTTGGGCTGCTCTGACAGGAGAAGTAAAATGTGATGACAGCGAATATAATCAGCAATAAAGTGCAATCACCGAGGTGTCAGGATCCTCTTTAGCTTCCAGCAGCAGCTTGATCAGGGCAGAGAGGAGATGAGACAGATGAGACAAAGAAGGATGGGAGGTCTCTAGCTGGACTGTAGGAAAAAAAGAAGATTATTTCAGTTTGGATGGGTTGCCTGGAGCAACCTGGTCTGGTGGAAGGTGTCCCTGCCATGGCAGGGGRTGGGACTGAGTGACCTTTGAGGTCCCTTCCCACCCAAACCATTGTGTKATGCTCTGAGTGGGGATGAACCGTGCTGGAGAGCCACAGGAGGACTGTGCTGAGGTGTGTTGGCTCCYCCAGGCCATCTGGGCCACTCGAGGGGGAGCTGGATCAGCCCTGAGGAGCTCTCCTAAGCCTTGATTTCCCCCTCCAGGCTGCTGGAGCTTAGCCTGGGCATGTTCTGAGRGTGTTTGTGAATAATCGATGCAGGCAGGGGCCAGGTTTGGAGTGGACTGGCAGAGGAGATGTAACCTTCCTTCATGGATAACACCAAAGCATGAAACCTCAGCTCAGATATCCATCCTGCACCAGAGGGATGTGCCAATTGCTTGTCTCAGGCTGATGCAGCCAGTGCCAGCTCTTCTCTTTGTGCTGCCTCCGTGGTTTTATTGCAGCCAGCTCCTGCCTTTTCAGCTGCCATCGCCTCCGACGAGCCCTTTGAAACTCGACAAGCTCAAGGAGTCACAATAAATATTACACAGCAATCGTAGCGCCCGTCAAAGCGGGATGGCAAAGCACTGCTGTGTAAAACATCGATTTTCACACACAGATGGAGCTCCCTTCTCCTTATTTAATGTTGGAGCAAGTAACTAGAATAAAATACGTGCTAAGGGCAGCCCTGTGTGGCACTGGGGTGTATTCAGGGATCTCTTCCTGGGATTTCCTTGTTCCCTGAAGTTTCCCAATCCATGCTCCAAACAAGGAGAGGAATCTGCAGGATGATGGGGAGGGAGCACAGGCCCTGCTGGGGACCTGCCCGAGCTCCAGGATGGTGCTGGGGAGTGATGGAGAACCAAGTGTGGGACAAGGCAGTGGAGCCTCACTCATGGCACTGGTGAGGACAGAGGGAAGGTGGCCAAGAACTAAACTGAATTAAAAAAAAAAAAAACCAAAAAAAACCCTTAGGGATTTTTGAAGCTTGTACGGAGCGTGCTGTACATCAGGTGTTTGGGATCTGAAGGCGACTCCAAGGAAATGGATCCTTTTGATGCTCACAGTGCCTGGAGGCCCAAACRGAGCTTCAAGCCCTGCTGGGAAGAAGCTGCTCAAACCTGTAATAACAGGCTGTGCCTGTCACGATGAGTTTTCAGTGGCAGGCCACATGGCAGGCAGGAATGTGATTATCCGAGGCACTGGGGCTCCCAGGACTCTGCCAGGAGCTRTGCCATACCTCGCGTGCGGAGGAGCAGCCTGTCTGAGTCCTCAGGGCTGTCCATCTGGACCTTCCCCAGCCAGAAGGCTGCCTCCAAACCTCTTTAACTTTGATGCTGGGATTGTGGCAGGACACTGCTGGCCTGGGAAGAGGGAGGTCCTGGCAGACAAAACCATCAGAGAGAGGGTTTGGCTGCTCTCGGAGGTTGGAGCTGGTTGTGCTGCTGGGTGGGAGCAGCAGTGCTGGGGGAACATGTTAAAGAAAAAACTATTAAAGGAAAAACTGTTAAAGAAAATACTCTGTTAAAGAAAAAACTTTACACAAAAGAGGAGGGTCCTGGGCCACTGTGTTTTCTCAGAGTAAATGCCAGCAGGTGTGGTTTTGTTAAATGATCTGAAGGGTCTCTAGAGCCATCTCTGCGAGTGACAGATGGAAGGTCACAGGTGATGTGGGTAACTGGTGACAGAATCGGCCATCAGAGAGGAAAAGCCTGCCCAGAGCTGCTCTGGGGTGAGCAGGAGCTGTACCCCAGCCTTGCCTGAAAAGGGCTGGTTCCCCTTGGTGGGACAGGACCTGATTGGGTGGGACATTTGGAAACAAAATTCCTGCCTCATCTTGGAGGGTTTCTAGAGTGACTTCAGGCTCTGCAGGTATRTTATTTATGCACATCCCTCCTGATCTCAGGATCCATTCAGCCCAGATCATTATCAGCAGCTCTGGGAAGACATGCAGGTGTCTGGCCTGTGTCCATCCCTCTTTCACACCACTCCTGCTGCTCGGGCAGCTTTTTATGGACAGCCTGGTGCTACAGTGCCTCTCACTCCGAGAGTGAAGACAGCATCTCTTTTTTTGTCTGCTGGAGTCTAGACAAGCTGTTGATTCCCTGGTGTCACAGACCGTGACCCCACTCCTACACCAGCCCCATCATTTCCCCCTAGTTCATTGCTCAGGCATATGCTCATCTATTTTGAATCATTTGTATGTGTGAGGCTGAGTGGCTCCTAATCTCGTCTCCCTCCCGGGGCGTCAGTCATGCTGGCATGTGCCTTTTCCCTGTCTGCCTCYCTCTCTTTATGGACTACGGGTATTTTTAACTCTACCCTCTAATTAGAGGCAGTTTTCTGGGGATATTTTGTGCGTGGGGCTCTCACGTCTGTGGTCAGCAGGGCGGGCAGTGCGCTCTGGGGACTGGCCATGCACRGAAACCTTCCTGCTAAATAAACTCTGCCAGCAGCAGAGCATTCCTGCATTCCTCGGGGGCTGCCCCAGCACCGTGCTGGGGTGACAGCTGTACAGARGAGCCAGACAAACCCCCGAGAGGGRGCCACAGCTGCCTCCTGGTCCTGCAGCACGGAGCTGTGCCTGCTCAGAGCTCCCTGCAGCTGCCTGCGAGCTGCGGGCTCGGTGCTCCTGACCGGGATGTGTCACATCCCCGGGGACATCCCTGAGCTGGTCCAGGCACGGAGAAGACAGCGATACTAATGAGGGGTGGCCTTGAACAGCGTGTCCCCAACAAG